CCCCCCACGCCCCGGCGGGAGGCGGCGGAGAGCCCGGACATGGGTGTTTGTCTCCGGGAAGCGCTGCCCCGTGGCCTGTTGGTACCTGCGGGCGGGCGCCCGGGGGAAAGCACCGTCCTCTCCTGAGCGGTCGCGGCTCCTCGCCCCGGGCTCTCGCCATGGACACTATGAAAACCACCTACATCGTGCTGGAACTGATCATCGCTGTGCTGTCCATCGCCGGCAACGTCCTGGTCTGCTGGGCCGTGGCTATCAACAGCACCTTGAAGAACGCAACCAACTATTTCCTGGTGTCCCTGGCAGTGGCTGACGTCGCCGTGGGTTTGTTAGCCATCCCTTTCGCCATCACCATCAGCATCGGGTTCCAGGTGGATTTTCACAGCTGCCTCTTCTTCGCCTGCTTCGTGCTGGTGCTGACCCAAAGCTCTATTTTCAGCTTGCTGGCGGTGGCCATCGACAGGTACCTGGCTATTAAGATCCCACTGAGGTAAGAGACTGGAGTGGACGCAGGTAGCCACGCTCCCTGACGCAGGTAGCCACTGTCACCTTCCTTAGAGCGCGGGAGCTTCTAGTCCCTCCTGTTGCCGTAAGAGCTTTGCTACTCACAGGCGGTGATGAAAATAACAGAGATTTTGCACTCACTGGCTGCAGGATCGGGATCAGGTTTTTTCAGTGTCCTGCCTCTTGCTTCAAAATACACCCGGGAGCTCAGTTTCTTGAGGATGTTTGTTTTGGGAGGGTCAGTGGCTTCTGGGGGGGCTGTGCAGTGATGCAGCAGTGTGCTTGGGATGGTTGTAGCTAATCTATGTAGGTATTTATACAGCCCCCATGACTGTGGTGTCTGGGCATCTCCCAGGTAATTAAATATAGGAGCAACCACTCTTTCTCCTACTTCCCAGCCTATTAGAGAAGTCGTTCTGTAAGAGGTTCTTACAGGCTGTTCTGTAAGAGCTCTTCTCTCTTCCTGAGCTCAGGTCACAATACTTTCAGAAAGGCTGAAATTCACCTTAAACAGATCTTTGTGCATACTTCACATTTTCAGCTAGGACCGGAGTCTAACTAGGCTGTCTTCCAGTTTTTAGAGGGATATAACGAATGGACTGAAAGTGCCATTTACTGCACCTACAAATGCTGAAACCGTATTTCAGTGCTTGCCTACATACCTTTTCCTTCTGCATGCTTACCGTGAGAGAGAGTGTAGATCAGTAAATGTCAGAAGGTGTCAGCTCTGTGTGTACGCTGTGGAAGGAGAAAGCATTCGTGCATCAGACCTCAGAATTTTACAGTTTAGACTTTAATCCAAGTGCAGTATCAAAGACGTAAATCGGTTTCCTTCTAATTCATGGGACATTGCAATATAATAGGGAAAACTGTACTGAATATAATTTACAGGCACTTCACCAGTGAGTTGGTGCAGCATCTGTCATAAGCTTAAGTGCACCAAAACCCCGGCTTTGCATTACAAATGACCTGAGTCTCGCTCTCCTTCAGTGTTGTCCCACTGTTGTCCCACCCCGAGACTAAGACATCGATGGAGCCCCGCTGGGGAGCCCAGGGCTGCTCAGGGGACTGAGCAGAAGCAGAAGCTGTGGGAAAGCAGGGCAGGTCTGGCACAGGGACCTCAGCTGAACGGTGTAAACTGCAGCTTTCCGAGATTCTGCTCCTCTCTGATATCTCCCTTGCATGGGCGATGAATTCACCCTAAAATGACCTAAAAAAAAACCCCCTTCACCCTGTTCCAGCACCTTGCATCGGAGAACTCCCCTATGTTGGGCAAATATTAATTAGTCATCAGGCAGATGATAAAAACTGGTAGTGGAAATAGATGTCTGCACAGTGCTTGGAAATTCCACGGCCTGGGGTGAGCGGGAGCCGAGCTGCAGCCCTGGTCTGCGCAGGAGGGAGCGGGGCAGAGCCGTTCGGGCTGCCAGCACCTCCAGAACCAGCCGCTGACCGTCCCAGCCACCCGGCTGGCCTCGGAGACACACGCTGGCTCTGGGTAATCTTTGGTGACTCTTCCCTTAGTTCATTCGGGGCTTTCTTGGGGTGGGGGCTACTGGCAAAGCAGCAGCTACAGAAGCAGGCTGGATTTTTTTACGTTTCAGTCTAATCACAGCACTCTCCACAAGCAGGCTGTTCAGGCATGGCTACGACTCTTTTCCTTCGTACCACAAGTGAAGTTGAATCCTGTGAGATGGGGTTTTATTCTGCTGGAATCCGAGGAGAGAGTAGCAGGTCAGAAACACTCCGAGGGGATCATTTTCATGTTTGCAGAAGGGAAGTGGGTTTGCCAACTGACAAAATAGCAAGTTCTTCCCTCCATTCTCTCTCTCTTTTTTTTAACATTCCTAGTCTCTAGCAGGTTTCCTCGACTCTCCGTGAGGTCAGGTCATACACCTGTGTGGAATGAAATGCCAGGGCGGTTTTGCCTTGCTTCGGGATCCTCTCCTGGCATTGCTTTTTCACCCCGTCTTAGGCCAAATCTTTTATTCCATTTGCACAGACATCTTTGTTCCTAGGAGCACTTCTACCCAGACACATCCAGCCCCTTCAGCTCTAAATGGAGATCAAGGAGTCCCATCCTAGGCTGGAGTGTGAAATTTGGATTAAACTTGGTCTCGGCAGTGAGGCCCATTTTCATTGCTTTCAGAGGTGACCAGTGAGTAAAATGCCTTTAAAAGGACAGAGGTGTCTCACTGCTGGGAGCGCAGGGCAATGGACAGGTCATTGCTTCGGCAACAGAAGATTTATGGGCTGGTACTGAAAGACTGTTTTTTATTTGTACAGCCAACATCAAAAGAGGCTAGAGGAGGTTATAAAACTACACTGGCAAAACTCTGCTGCACTGGAGTTTTCCAACCAAGGCTTGGTTAGAGCTGTCTCGTCGGCGTCGTTACTCCCGAGGAGCAGCGAGGAGGGAGGAACTTGTCCAGCCACCCGCTCTAGGTAGATGCACGTGCTGTTTCTGGAAGGAGGTTTGTGCTGTGGAAAGGGAAAGCTGGTCATCAATTTGTAGGAATGGTGACCTTAGGAAAAATTTTTTTTCACTAGAACACTCGTTCTGGAGACCAGTGCAGAGGCTGGTAAGAGTCCATGCAGTATTAAATGTTTAAGAAAATGATTTGTACCCAGCCCTATCTAGCAATTACAATAAATAATGCAGTTGTTGCAGAGCAGACAAGTGTCCCTGTCGCATCCACCAGCTCCCTGTGGAAACCTCTGCAGGGACATTGAGAACTGAGTGTGCCATATTACTTAATACTATTTCAGGGCTCTTTAAGCACACTGAGAGGCTGGGCAGGCCTGCAGGCTGGGGGTGCACAGGAGAAGTTTGCATTACAGCCAGGCTAATAATGGATTTTTCAGTTCTGTGGCTGAACCAAAAAAATCCCATGGGGAAGAGGAAAATTGTTTCAGTCCAACTGAAACAGCAATGTTTGGAGGTTTCAGTGAAACAAAGCCATCCTGACCAACCTGGCAGATTTTTGTTTGAGTTACTTAGTCCTTCTGATGTTGCTGTGAAGTGGAGGTATCCTTGCTTGAAAGGAGCTAACAAATTCTCATCAATTCTCAGCAATTGCTGAACAAAAAAAAAAAAATAATCTTACAACATTTTAAAATGGTGTTTTAGAACCCTCCCTCTTCTGGCTAAAAATATTTGCTGAATTTGACCTGAAGCCATGAATTCTTTCTGTCTCTTGTAACTCTTTTTTTGTTTGTTTGTTTTTGACAAATTTACTGTTTGTGGAGAAGCCCCCGCCCATGCTGCCCGCTTCATGCTGCTGCTGCTCTGAGCCCTTCCTCGGGTCCCTTTTCCCCCGGCTGACACACCAGGGTGTCTGCAGACACGCTCTCACCCTGCCTTGCCTCCCGCACCCCTCCGGGACCCCGGTGCTTCCGAGCAGGCAGTGCTGCTGCCTGCATCTGCCCTCCCTGTGCTCCCCCATGTACACGGCACCATCCCTGCTCTCGTCTGCCAACCTGACACCTCCCACCCGCCCCCCAAAAACTGCTCTCTCCCCGCCCCCAGCGCTTCCTCCAAGTGGAAAAATCAAAGCCAGGCAATTGAGCATCTTTCAGCAGCAGTAAATCCATCCTGCAGAGTGTTTGGCACAAGAGCGGTGTTAGGCTTTTGCTCTCTGCCTTTCTCCAGGGTTGGATTTCACCCCACAGTCCCACAGCTGCGAGCCAAAGATTTGTAGGTGGAATAAAATATCTCCCTTTTATTTGCATTAACCAAAATCCTTTGGTGTGGCTAATAATCGTTAGGTACGGGTAGATGCCTGGAACAAATGTGTCAGGAATTAGGAAGGGAGAAGAGTATCTGTAGTTAGAGAGCAAAAGGAGAATCAAACACTCTGTGCAACATCAGACTGTGTGTGTGCCTGTAACCTGCACAACAGTGAGCGCTGCACTGCTGCTGCCTACCTGGCAAACACCCCAGCTGAGACCTGTGGAGGGAAAATCAGCCCCAACTCCCTGTGATTTGAGCTGGTCTGGTGCTTGTTCTTCCTCTCTGGATTTAGTTCTCTCCCATCTTCCATTTTATCCCTAGCAGAAGTGCAAGACTGATGTTCCCGGGCAGCTTTGCCATGCACTAGAACAGGGTATCCACGACCGTGCCCCCTCTCTTTCTGCACCTTGCTGAGCCCTCGCTGCAGCCAGAGCATCCGCGCTTGGACCACGATCTGCCCAGGGTGTTGCACTGCTGGTGCTGCCAGTCCTCCACGTGAGCTGCTGCCCCTTTTATCTGTGACATGATGAAGGCAACAGTCCAGCTGCTTTCTGCTGTCCTCATGGGGACAAATTCCGTTTGGATTGCTGTTGTTCTTATCTGATGCCTTTAGCTGTGCGGTGCCCTTTCTAGAGGTGGGTTGGCTGATGCTTTACAGCTGCTGGCCCTTGCTGTGCCCTGCTCCTGCAGAGGAGGGGGCTCCCTCCCTGTTCTCCAGCAAAGAATGGTTCCTGGATTTCGTAACAACTCTCACTTTGTTCCTCGGCAAAGCAAACTGGTGGGTATTTATGGCGGGTGGGAGGGCTGGAGCCACTGGGGAGGAGAGAAAATCCACTTCAGAGCCTTGGTCTTCACCTGCCATTTTCTGTGTGCCATCAACGACACACAGAATTGCAGCTGCTGTTCCTTCTTCTGCTCTTGCTTCATTTCCTTTATGAAGGGAAATCCTTGCCTTGCCTTTCATCTGAACTCCTAGGCGTGTTCATGTGTGGCTCACACATGCGGTGCCCGATCCTGAGACCCGAGCAGCACAGGGAGCACCGTTATTCCAGAGCGGTGGATGCTCTGCCTCTGCTGTCCGACCGTTGACTCTGCCTGCCCGAGGTTATCATCAACTCATAAACTTCATATGCAACAAACCTGGCAAACACGCTGAGTGCTGAGGGCAGGAGGGCTGCTGTGTTCGCTTGAGCAATGGAGCTGTCACTTTTTTGAGGAAGTTTGTGTCAGTCGAGCTCGACTCAGGGGCTGCAGTGGGGGGCTGGCAGCGCCTGCTGGCCTGGCTGTGGGTCTCACAGGGCCGCCTCTCGCGCTGGCCTTCAGGTGCAGCTGACTCTGGACACAGAAGCACAGTAAAAAAATCAGGAATAATCGCATGTGCCCTCATGACCATAAACCGGAGGAGGGAAATCACAGCTATTTTTAGTTGTGAGCTGCCTGGTTTCCTTAAAATGCGTATCCCAAATTTTTATATTTTTCCCCCACCTCGGGGGTGACTTCCTTCCCAAAAAGCAAAAGCCCTGACAGGAAGGGAACTAATTGTCTTTGAGACCTCTGCCCCTACACAGCTCTCACAGAAGCAGAGATGTCAGGGAGCAGGGGCTCAAAGCCTCGTTTCCAGGCTGAGGGCACTTGATCTCTGGGCTGAGCCAGAGCTTTGTGTTTAGGAGCTTTTTTCAGTTTTGGTCAACTCAATCTATAAAAAAAATACAGATTAATTTTTAGATGAAACAAAACAGCTTTTGAAATCCGGCAGAATTTTGTTTCAGAAGCCCTCTCTACTAAAAAAGGTATTAAACCAAAATAGTTTGACAGTGAACTGGTTTATTTTGCAGTTTAAAGTTTTTGCTTCGTTAATTAACTGGCTTGTTCTTGGGGGTTTTATGAATTCCCTGTTTGTCATAGTGATGAGCACAGACTGCAGAACTGAGCCTTTCAGGAGTGTTCTGCCCCAGCCTTTGGCTACACCAGGCAGTCACTACGCGGGGGGTGTTGGGGGTCCTGTTACTGTATTTGACCCACAAGATGCCAGGAATCAGTGACACCAGCTGTGCCTACAGATGTGTCAGCCCTTTCCCCTCCCCATCAGCTCTCGAGGCTTTGCAAGGTCCGGCAACGGGCTCACGGAATTTGTACGTGCCAGAGAATGGATTATCTCCTAATCCTATGAATGACATCGGGCCTGGGCCTGAGCCACAAATAACCTGTGAGTACGGCAGTGAGCGTGTGTCCGCGCCCTCGCCCTCACCCCTCGGTGCCGTGTGGGCACCGGCGTGTCACTGAGCACCCGTGGTGAGGACAGGACGGGCTCCTCCCGCTGCCGGAGCACGCTGGGACCGGGCGCAGGGGTGGTGCTGGGCTCGGGGCTGACAACACACGATCCACCAGCCCTTGGGTCAGGGCTCTGCGGGGAAGGTGGATGAGTAAGTAGCAGCTTGCTGGGGCTGGTGGATGGAGAGGTCAGCGGTTTGGGGCCTTTGGGAAGGGCTTGAGCACCCGTTTCATACAGAAAGTGATCCAGTAGAGATCTGCCATCTCCCCAGCCTTATCTGTTATCTGAGTGAGCAGGGCACTGGGTGCCTGGGAGGGGTAGCGGTCACACCACTGCTCTATACACAGGATCACACCCAAACAGCTCCCTCTGAATCATAGTTCCTATCTCACCTCTACCAGCTGCCTTTAACTCGGCTTCCCTGGGTGCTGCACATCTGAGGTCTGACTGCTCTGGGAGGTTTGGAATGACAAAAATTCTTAGCCCCAAGCACCACGAGGCAGATAACACACGGGCTTCAGAGCCCTGGAGGGAGGGTGGTGCTGAGGTAGAGCTCAGCTCCTCTCAGCCCTGCACAGTCCTGGGTAGGGAGAACCAGGCTTCTGTGCAACAGGACTCAGAAACACCCCGTGGAGCATGAAGGGCTGGTGTCGCTCACTCCTGCCTGCACACGGGTGTCTTGGGGCTGCTTATGTTTTGATGTCGCCGGTTGCTGGAGTGTGAGCTGAGCTCATTTCCTTCCTGTGCTCTGGGGGCTCTGCGCACCTCTGGGGTGTTCACAGCAGCGTGGGGCTGCGCAGCGTGGGCAGGGAGCCCACAGCTTGCCCTGCACCCTGCTTGTACCCCCCGTGTGTGTCTTAGTTCAGATTTCAGTCACCTTTTCTCACCTTGTCAGGGGCGCGAGTTGGCTGGGGCCGGCTTCTGCAGGCAGAAACCAGGGTAGCACATGCAAATTCCTGCCTGGCTGCGGGCTGCTGTGAAAGTGTGTGTGTGAGAAAAACAGTCACACATCCCCATCACAGGGCAGTCAGTGTTCAACCAGTGCACAGCTCTGCGGCCCCCTCCCAGTGCTCCCACAGCAGCCTGAGCTGCAGTTTCCCCTTCTCAATCCTCCAGGTTACCCACACACATGCCACCTGCAGGGTGCTTTGGGCCAAAGCTCTGCTCGCCTGCCTTTCTCCTTCCCGTGTTCCAGGTCCTGCAAAGCTGATGCCCTTCAGCCGTTCCACTGCCCTGAGCCAGTGCTGTGCCGGCAGGGGCAGGGCTGAGGTGCCAGCCTGGGGAGGGGTGTGCGGGGACAAACTGGTGGGAGGTGGGAGCTCTGAGGGCTGTAGAGAGCAGCCTTCACTCTTCCAGATGCTCTGCCTCCACCCCAGGGAAGGAATTGTTCACAGGAGGGATAAGCACAGTTATGGATATCTTGCTGAGAGGGTTTTAAGC